AAACTGGACCTTATCAAAGTGAAAAACTTTTCCTCTGTGAAACACCCTGGAAAGATGAAAAGCTAAGCTACAGACACGGAGAAAATATTTGCAAACCACATATCTGACAAAGGATTACTATCTAGAAAATTTAAAAAACTATTAAAACTCAATATATTAAAAACAATCCAATTAGAAAATAGTAATATGGAAAACCAGAAATATGCCACTCCAGAATACGAAGAATTGTTGAGCTGAAGGCAAGTAAGAGACAGACACAAGAAAGCTCTCTATCCTCGATTTGCCTAAAAGTAGACCATCCATTTACAAAGATAAAAGTATCCTGCCTCCCCTTCTGTCAAGGAGAACAAAGGTTAACAACTGAAGACAACTTGAGACCTGATGGTCCTGGAGAGGGTACCAGAGAAATCTACATTAACCAGCTTCACAAACTAGCCCGTATCTGCCATTTATTTGCTCCCCTCAAGTTGTCACCCCTACAGATTCCAATTCCCTTTCCTTTATCTTAACACTTCTCTAAAAATTTCCTTTCTTTGATGAAGATGCTATATAAGATGAAATTCAAAGCCACCTTTTTGGGAACTACTCATTCTCTGGGTGTCCCCCATGTACAGATGAAATAGACTTTTTAATAAACTTACTGTTTTTCTCTTCTTAATCTATGTCTTGTTACAGGGGTTCATTCCAACTAAGAACCTATGGAGGTTCAAAAAAAAATTACTATTCTTCCCATACAGTTCAAAGGCACAAAGAACTATTTCAATAAAGATAAATTAGAGGCAGATAATGCACCCATGAAAGGACTGTCGTGCAAATTAACAACACAAAGAATCACTATAGGCCAGATGCAGTGGCTCACACCTGTAATCCCAGCACTCTGGGAGGCCAAGGCAGGCATATCATGAGCTCAAGAGATCAAAACCATCCTGGCCAACATGGTGAAACACCATCTCTATTAAAAATACAAAAATTAGCTGGGCATCGTAGTGCACGCCTGTAGTCTCAGCTACTCAGGAGGCTGAGACAGAAGAATCACTAGAACCCAGGACAGAGAGGTTGCAGTGTGCGGAGATAGCACCACTGCACTCCAGCCTGGCAACAGAGCAAGACTCTTATCTCAAAAAACAAAAAAAGAAATATCACTATATACCCATCAGAATGACCAAAAAAAAAAAAAAAAAACAGTGCTAAGTGCTAACACCAAGTGATAGCCAGAATAAACTGGATCGTGCATTCAGCAGCTAGTGGAAATATAAATTGGCATGTTCAAAGCAGTTTTATTTTTCATAGCTCAAAATTGGAAATTAACCCAGATGTCCTTCAACAGGTGAATGGTTAAACTGTGGTATATCTGGCCAGGCACGGTGGCTCACGCCTGCTATCCCAGCACTTTAGGAGGCTGAGGCAGGGAGATCACCTGAGGTCAGGAGTTCAAGACCAGCCTGACCAACATGGAGAAACCACATCTTTAATAAAAATAGAAAATTAGCCAGGTGTAGTGGCACATGCCTGTAATCTCAGCTACTCAGGAGGCTTAGGCAGAAGAATCACTTGAAACCAGGAGGTGGAGGTTGCAATGAGCGGAGACCATGCCACTGCACTCCAGCCTGGACAACAAGAGAGAAACTCTGTCTCAAAAAAACAAAAACAAAAACAAAACACTGTGGTATATCCATACCAGGGACTACTACTTAATAACAAATAGGAATGAACGATTGACACACATACACCTGGATGAATCACCAGGGAACTGTACTAAGTGAAAAAAACTAATCCCAAAAGGTTAATGTTGTATGATGGTTTTCTGTAGCATTCTTGAAAGGACAGAAACAGATTAGTAGGTTGCTGGTGTTTGGGGCGGAAGCTGTAGGGGTTGGCTGGGGTTGGGGAATGACAGGGCCAGGATGAAGGTAGGTGTGACTATAAAAAGGGCAACAGAAAGCCGGGCACGGTGGCTCATGCTGTAATCCCAGTACTTTGGGAGGCTGAGGCATGAGGATCACAAGGTCAGGAGTTCAAGACCAACCTGAATATGGTGAAACCCCGTCTCTAAAAATATAAAAATTAGCCAGGTATGGTGGAGCCTGCCTATAATCCCAGCTACTCAGGAGGCTGAAGCAGAACTGCTTGAACCCAGAAGGCAGCGGTGGCAGTGAGCCAAGATCATGCCACTGCACTCCAGCCTGGGTGACAGAGTGAGACCCCATCTCAAAAAATGTATGTAATATTTATGTATTATATATATTTATAGATGTAATATATATATTTCATATAGAAACCCATGAAGCGGGAAGGACTTTCTAACTATGTCTCCAAATGCTATAAGTCAGTCCAAAACCATAAAGATTAATAAACTAGACAACAAAAATAACCCAATATTTCTGCATAGGGAAAAATACCATGAACAATTATCAAAAGATAAATGATATACCAAAAAATAATGGCTTGCAACTCACATAATACAAAGGGGTAAAAGACACTAGGGGGAAAAAAGACCAGAAAACCCAAGAGAAAAATAGGCAAAAGATGTAACAGTTAAGTTCACGGCCGGGCACGGTGGCTCACACCTATAATCCTAGCACTTTGGAAGGCTGAAGTGGGCGGATCACGAGGTCAAGAGATCAAGACCATGCTGGTCAACATGGTGAAACCCCATCTCCACTAAAAAATACAAAAATTAGCTAGGCATGGTGGCACACACCTGTGGTCCCAGCTACTTGGGAGGCTGAAGCAGGAGAACTGCTTGGACCCAGAAGGTGGAGGTTGCAGTGGGCCAAGTTGCACCACTGTACTCCAGCCTGGCGCCTGGTGACAGAGCAAGACTCAGTCTCAAAAAAAAAAAAAAAAAAAAAGTTAAGTTCACAGAAAAATAAATACAAGCCACCCTTAGAAACATGGAAAGGTATTTCACCTATCTGTTGCCCAAAATCCGAAAGTTGAACCACATATTCTATGGGAGAAGCTGTGAAGAAATAAGCATTCCCATGCGTTGCCAATGGACAAACAGAATAATACTATCTCTAGGACAGGTGTTCTCACTAAGCTGATCAAGTTCTGGGAATTCATCTAACATATAAACATATATACACAAAATTATAAATGTACAAGGTTATTCATTACAACATGGTTTGTCACAGCAAATGGTTGGAAGTACTTTAATAAACCATAGACACCTGCACTTGAATTACTATGCAATTGTGACATAGAGAAAAATGCCATTCATGTTCTGTCATAGAAATATCTGGAACATGCTGTTAAGTGAAAAAGGAATAACGGAAAATAGTGTATATGTCGAACATCAGAATCAGCTTAAGCTGGAGGTTTATCAGAACTTCCGAATAAGGACCCCATCCATGTCAACTAAATCAGAATCTGCATGTTAACAAGATGCCAGGGATGCACAATTGCATCTAAGTTTGATAAGCCCTAGAGATAACAGATTCCTTTTTAAGTAAAGGGAGAAAGGAAATAACAATATACATATATATTTTCTTTAAACTGGATAAAGAAACACTGGCAAAGTATATGAGAAACTAGAAAAAAAAATAAACATCTATGGTAGAATGACCAATGGACAAACAGAATAATACTATCCATTCCAGTATGTCTGGGACTGTCCCAATATAGGCCAGTTGTCTTGGCATAATTATTTATAGACCCTCTTTCACTCTCAGTGAAAATGTCTCAGTTTGGATGATAAATAAATGTCACCCTACCTAGAGAAACTGCATGAACAGACAAAGGGAGTGTGACTATTTATGTACATCTTTTGTGTCACTTACTTTTTTAAAACATGTAAATATATTATTAATTCAAAAGCACTTTATTAAGGGGAAAAAAACCATGAAACCAGTCAGGAAAAACAGACCAAGAAGAGCCATAGGCTAAGGATGGAAACCCATGGATAAGGAATGCCTGGAGCAAAAAGAAAAGATGCCTTCATGAGGACTAGGGAGGAAATCAAAGTTAGGAAAGGACAGCTCAGAGGATGGCATTATAGACACCAACAGAGGAGACTCTCCAAACAAATACCATGGTTAACAATATATGCAGCAGCCCAGGCAAGTAACACAAAGGCAAAAACATCCACTGGTCCACTGGCCTTGACTATGATTTGGTGGCCTTTGCCAGAAGTGATTCAGGTGAGTTTAGGTGAGGGGGCAAGGTTGCATTCATCAGATTGAAACACAGATAACAAACCCAGAAAACAAGTCAGAACTGTCAGTGATTCAACCTAGAAATAAGAACAAGCTGAGACAAACACTTAGAGAAAACTATTTTGAGGACATGTAGCCTGTCCATTCCTCCACATCGTCAGGTTTTTATTCTTGAATCAAGCAGGACCATCAGAAAGGTGGCTACTCAAACCTCAGCATTCCATCTCCTGAAAAGCATATGCACTGAGTTCTGCTTTGGAACTATGTTCTTTGTTTCTACCAAGAAATACTTACAGACAATTTATTGCATTTACTTCAGAACTGTCATGAGAACAATCAGTGATAACATTACAATAACTTGGGTAATTCTGTAAAATTAGAAATCCTGCATCTGGCCAGGCGCAATGCTTCACTGTGTAATCCCAGCACTTTGGGAGGCTGAGACAGGCTGATCACTAGGTCAGGAGATCTAGACCAGCCTGGCCAACACGGTGAAACCCTGTCTACTAAAAATACAAAAATCAGTTAGGCATGGTGGCATGTGCCTGTAGTCCCAGCTACTCGGGAGGCTGGCACAAAAGGAGTCATTTGAACCTGGGAGGCAGGGGTTGCAGTGAGCAGAGATGTCACTGCACTCCAGCCTAGCAACAGAGCAAGACTCCGTCTCAAAAAAAAAAATCCTGCATCTAATTTGCCAGCTGCACTACTTTGGATTTGCTATTCTAATTTCAACTCCCTTAATGTCAATTTCTGCCTATTTCTCCATTTTCAAAACATAAATCCTTATAAAGTTCAGAAAATTCATTTTTAAACAAACTGGGAATAAAGAAACAAAAATCTCACCTGGAATTTGTTCATTTTCTGCTCTTAGTGGAGGAGGGAGAGCTGAAGGAGAAGAAAGGAAGAAATGTCAGGAGAGCTTTGGCCGGCCTTGCAGTTCGAAGATTCACCTGCCTATACAGCTCCACACACAAGATACTTACGTGTCCATGTGGCTCCGATATATGCTGAGCTCAGACATGACACTTTTCATTGAGTGAATGTAAACATTTCTTATTGATTTATTACCAATTTAGGTTCTGTGACACAGAAAAATTAAAAACATGAAAAGATGAGTTTAACAAGTAACAGTAATCTAAAGGAAGAAACACTATCAATTTCTCAAAATTCCTTGTAGGGAAAAAAAAACCTCAGGCCATATTGTTTATCTGTTTACCTGTTAACACCATTAATCCCCTGAGGTCAGATAATGCAAAAAAAAAAAAACCTCTAAAAAAGGGACAGAGTGTTTAAGGCAAGACAAACTTTTAAAAAATGTTTGTTCTAACTTGCTAACAATTCCTCAAAAGGATCTTTTAATGAGAAACTGTGCTATAGAGGTAACAAAATGGGCAGCAGTGGCCCGGGAAACTGCAGACTTGACTTCTAAACTCGGTTGTGCCTCTAACAGATGACAAGATCTGAACTAGTCACCTCCTCAAATTCAATTTTGTTTTTCCATCTTTCAAATAAGGTCAAAACAGATAACCCAGGTAGGACCCGCCTGCACTACCATCCTGCGAGAAGAGGAAGCTCAGTAGCTCATCAGGACATCCCGGGTGTTCGCAGAGGGGTGATGACAGCATTTCCTTTGCTGTGGCCATGAGCCTTTCACCCATCCCTGCCCTCAGACTCTCCAGAGGTGACGCTCCCACCCCTCAGCTCCAGCTCACCTCTCTTCTTAAACTTGTCCCAGACCTTCCACCGGCACACAGACTCCGACGGCTTCAGGATACTGCGCCATGATTATACATAAAACATAAATCAACGCGCAACGTATAAATAATAACTTGGGATACGGGGACGATCAGAGCCAAAAGGGGCCCTGGTGGGCAGCTAGGCCAGCTCTTTCGCTCCTGCACTCCACCGGCAGGGAGGCCCTGGGGCCGGTGCAGGCGCCGTCTCCCCCGGACTCTCCCCGGGAACGCACACCCAGCATTTACAGCACCTAAACAATGCAAGTGCTCAAAACAACCTGAGGCGGCAAGTATTCCTGATATCCGTAATCTACAGAGAGGAAAAACGAGTCTCCCGTGGGTAATTGTGTCTGACTAATTCATTTGTCGCGGACCTGGCGCTGCCACTCTCCCCTGCAGCCCCGCCCCCTCCCCGCCGGCCCAGCGCACAAAAAGCGCACACGCACACGCCACAACGTCATGCGCACGCCCACGGCAAACGTCACACACGCTACGCACGCGCGCGCTGTTCTCTACCCCGCAGCCAGTTCCCTCCCCACCCGCGGCCACAGGACTGTGCTTACACGCCAGGTGCAGGAACTGGACACGTATGGACCCCGCGAGCCCGGGCACTCGCGTTCTCACGCCGTATCTGGACCCTTCGGACAGAGACGCTCTCGCCCCGCCGTCCTTCAACTCCGCAGACACTGCAGGCTTTGGGGTCCCCACCTACCGCCGAATTCTCGCCACCGCCCGCCCCGCCTTCCGGGTAGCGCGGGGACACTCTAGCCCCTCGCCCAGTCCTCCGGGGCTCACCCGCCGCTTCCTCGCCGCGTGGACCCAGAGGCGAGGGATTTGTTTCCCACGAGGGACTGGAGGCCGGGAAAGGACGCGCGGGGCGGTTAGGTGGGGGTTGTGGGTGGAGGCGGGGATGCACATGCGCAGAGGGAGTGGCGCGGCCGCAGAGTGCCGGAGTTGGGCTACTGGCTGCGGGGCTTGGAAGAGTGCTACCTTTCTTAAGTGAAGTGTCGGGACGATGCCTACCTGTTTTGGCCGCACCACTCAGTTGTAAAATGAGGCTAATTATCGTGCCTAGCTAGTTAGCAGGGTTTTATGAGAATTAAAGGCGCTTTACGTTGTAAAAGCACTTAAACCGGTGTCTGACACAGAAATTGTTCAGTATATTTCTCAAGATTCCTCATTATATATATCATGCCGCTCATCATAAACAAGGCTCTCCTACAAAACAGCCTTGTTTAGTGGGTTGGGAGATTACTGTCTCAGTTACCCACTCCTGCCTGGAACCAGGATTCCAGCAGTTCCGCAGAGGTTGTGGATCAAACCAATGTGCCTGAGACACACGCCAAGAGAAGGAAAGATGTGCTTTCATTCGTTTATGAACATGCATGTTAACATTTAAGTGAAAGACTGGAAGAGAAAATTAATATCTCTGACCAGTATGGTTATTCTCTGGAATAAGGAAAAACACAAGCTAATAATTAAAGAGCCAAACATAAAATTTTTTATATGATTTTAAAAAACCATGCGTGGTGGCTTTCACCTGTAATCCGAGGACTTTGGGAGGCTGAGGTGGACAGATTACAAAGTCAAGAGATGGAGACCATCCTGGCCAACATGGTGAAACCCTATCTCTACTAAAAATACAAAAATTAGCTGGGCATGGTGGCCTATGCCTGTAATCCCAGCTACTCTGGAGGCTGAGGCAGAAGAATCCCTTGAACCCAGGAGGCGGAGGTTGCAGTGAGCTGAGAGCACTGCACTCCAGCCAGGCCACAGAGCAAGACTCTCCGTCTCACAAAAAATAAAAGCGTTTGAGTAACAAATTTGAAGAGAAAACACGCTCTCATCTCCCAAATCAACCATACTTTACCCAGAACCACAAATACGTTCTTTTATGTGCACATCTGGCATTTTCAGCACTCTATGGGTGTGTCAAAACTTTTTGTTAAAAAATCATGAACTCTTTGGTCATGGTCCATTTTTTAAACTTTTCATTTGCTCATAATTTCAGATTTACAGAAGAGTTGCAAAGATAGTTGCCGTATGCCTTTCACCCAGATTCTACTAGGTTAGTATTTTACATAACCATGGTATATTTACCAAAACTAAGAAAATAACATAGGTACAAGTACTATTAACTGAACTGCAGAGTTTATTCAGATTTCAGCAGTTGTTCCACTAATGCTGTTTTTCTGTTCTAGCATCCAATCCAGGATATCAATTACATTTACTTATCATGTCTTAGTCTTGACCAGTTTGTAATCATTTCTTGGTCTTAGGTTGTCTTTCGTGACCTTGATATGGAGATGAAAACATGCCCTCTTGACTTCAGTCCACAGGTATGAGCCACCACGCTCAGCCTATAGTTTAACTTCTGGCCAGCAGGCAAGAAGAATCCAGTAAGGCAATAACATTCTCCTGATGAGATTGAGGTTGTGCATTTTTAGGAAGCACACCACAAACAGATTGTGGCTTTCCCATAGTGTGATATCAGGTGGCATGATAACATGATTTTTTTACTGGTTAATTGACCATGATCACATGTATTAACTTAAATTTGTCCTGAGGCTGCCTCCCTACCTTTAGTGTCTATGTAAAGAACTACAACCTACCTTGGTATGTAAACAAAGCCTAACTTAGGAGTATACTTTTATAACAAATAGCTGAGTCAGCCAGTTACAGGCTGGCAACTAATCAGACCATTTCCAAATAAGGCCAAAGTTGAGCTATAACCAGTCAAACTGTTTCTGTAGAGCACTTCTGTTTTCTATCTATAAATATTCCCTGCCCACTTTATAGAGTTCTCTGAAACACTTCTGGTTCTGACTATTGTCTGACTCAGGAATCTTTCTTTGCTGAAATGAAGTCTGCCAAACTTAATTTTCTAAAAATTTGTCTTTTAACACTTGGTAAAGGTGGTGTCTGATAGGTTTCTCCCTATTTTTCCTTGTCCAGTCTATACATAGAAGTGGGTCCGTAAGTCCAGCCCATACTCAAGGGGAAAGAAAATAAGCTCTGTTTTAAATTTGTGGTTATATTTGGCAGGGGTGGGGGTGGTGAGAAAGTATCTTTAGTCAGGCCTGATGCCTTGATACAGCTAGATGTACAAAGACATATCATTCAAAGGCATGAAAACAATCATCACATTGGTGTAACCTCCCTTCCTCCCCTTGGACACAGCCTTTGCATCTGGCCCCCTTCCCAGCTGTTTCCTTTGAAATCTGGAAGTTATGGGGCAAGGATCACTTCTTGGCATCTTCTTCCTGGGTGGTCAAATCTGCCTCCTTCTGAGCAGCCAGGGAGATGGCTTCTTCCTTCTGGAAAGCTGCAAGCTCTTCTGAACTGAGGTCCTTTGCCATGCGAATGTGAATGCCCAGGGAATGGGCAGACCTGATGATGGACTGGACAACAGAAGACGGGTACGTCCTGCAGGGCAAATGCCTCATCCTGAGCTTTGATGGCGGCAATCTCATGCACATGCTTCAAGGTCACCAGGCCTGCCACCTCTTTTCCTGTCTGCCAAGGCCCCCTTTTCAGTCCCAGCTGCTGCCTTCAGGATGTAGGAGTCTTGATGTCAAATGTCCTGTCAGGCTTTACAAAAATCTTGGTAAGTGGAGGAATGCTTTCCTTGATGTCCTTTGACCTCTCAATGAACTCCTTGCAAAACTGGTTGATGGAAACGCCTTGCTGACCCAGCACTGGGCTTAGTGGGGGCCCCCAGCATGGCCTGGCCTGCTGCCAGTATGATGGTCCCAATCACACTTTGGGCCTCGAGCTTCCTGAGGTCCCCGGTGACCCAGCCCGTCAACATGATGTGGGACTGCCGGCTTTAGTTCACCTCAGGGCAGCAGCAAGTGCAAGGCTGTGGTTATATTTATTTATTTATTTATTTATTTATTTATTTATTTATTTTTTAAGATGGGGGTTTCACCATGTTGGCCAGGATGGTCTCGATCTCTTGACCTCGTGATCTGCCAGCCTCAGCTTCCCAAAGTGCTGGGATTACAGGCGTGAGCCACCGCGCCCAGCCTTACATTTCTTAATTACCACACTGATTAGTAAATTCAGGAAGAGATTCTTTGAGACTATGCAAATACCTGCAAATACTCTTGTTTCTATTTTTCCACTAATTTTAGATATCATTCGTGGATCCTGGAAGCAGCCATTATTACTGTGGTGTTCCAAATGGCTATTTCCTTTGTGAACCCCAAAAACTTGAGACAGGTCTCAGTTAATTTAGAAAGTTTGTTTTGCCAAGGTTGAGGATGCACACCTGTAACACAACCTCAGAAGGTCCTGATGTGTGCCCAAGATGGTCAGAGCATAGCTTGGTTTTAAACATTTTAGGGAGCCATGAGACATCAATCAACATTGTAAAATGAACATTGATTGTGTCTAAAAAGGCGACGAAAGTGGGACAACTGGAAGCAGAGAGGGTGCTTTCAGGTTAAAGTAGGTGAAAAACAAATGGCCGAATTATTTTAAGATTCTGATTAGTCTTTCCAAAGGAGGGAATCTGATATGCATTTATCCCATTCCAGCAGAGGGATGACTTTGAATAGAACGGGAGACAGATTTGTCCTAAGCAGTTCCCAGCTTGAGTTTTCCCTTTAGCTTAGTGATTTTGGGGGCCAAAGATATTTTCCTTTCATACCTGTTTCACTTGTTACTTCTGTATTTATTAGTTAGAACTTCTATAATTATTAGAATTCTTCGCTAAGGGAGAATTTTCATTTACCACATTTATTTGATATTTATTTACATCAGTATGGACTTAACGGATATTTATTTTGCTCTTAACCATTGTCACATAACCCTCTTTTTCACCCCAACTCCTGGCACCCATTAAGCTCTTCTCTGTTTTATAAATTTACCTTTCTCAGAATGTCAAATAAATTGAATTATATAATATATAGCTTCTGGATTTGGCTTCTTTTATTTACCTAATTCTGTTAAAAGTCATTCATGTTGTTGGTCTTTTAATTAGGTCAGTTACTTTTTCTTCATGCTTTTCATTTCATCCAATATTATATTATTACATCGCTCAAATTGTCCCTGGTGGCATTGAAAGCTATTATAGATTAGCTTTTGGATACTTTTAGCATATCCTTTTCATTTTTAAAAACACTTCCTTACTTTCTTTTTTGTTTTTGTTGTTTTGTTTTTTGAGACAGAGTCTCACTCTGTCACCCAGGCTGGGGTGCAGTGGTGCAATCTCTACTCACTGTCACCTCTGCCTCCTGGGTTCAAGTGATTCTCCTGCCCCAGCATCCTGAGTCGCTGGGACTACAGGCACACACCACCACACCCAGCTAATTTTTGTATTTTTAGTAGAGATGTGATTTCACCTTGTTGGCCAGGATGGTCTTGATGTCTTGATTTCATGATCCGCCTGCCTCGGCCTCCCATTGTTCTGGGATTACAGGCGTGAGCCACCGAGCCCGGCCTAATTTTGTACTTTTAGTAGAGACGGGTTTTCTCTATGTTGGCCAGGCTGGTCTCCAACTCCTGACCTCAAGTGATCCACTCACCTCGGCCTCACAAAGTGCTGGGATTACAGGTGTGAGCCACTGGCCCTGGCCGTTTTTGCTGTATTTTTTTTTTTTTTTTTTTTTTTTTTTTTTTTGAGACAGAGTCTCACACTCTTCCCCAAGCTGGAGTGCAATGGCCTGTGCTCTCAGTTCACTGCAACCTCCGCCTCCTGGGTTCATGTAATTCTCCTGCCACAACCTCCCAAGCAGCTGGGATTACAGGCATGCACCACCATGCCCAGCTAATTTTTTGTATTTTTAGTGGAGATGAGGTTTCATTATGTTGGCCAGACCGGTCTTGAACTCCTGACCTTGTGATCCACCCACCTCGACCTCCCAAAGTGCTGGAATTACAGGTGTGAGCCACCATGTACGGCCCCATCAGCCGCATTTTCAAGGAGCCCAGGTACATTTTATCAGAGAGATTCAAAATCTGAGCTCTAGGTGTGCTCATTGCTATGAGAGTGTGTTTCTAGGGACTCTCAGCAGACAGACCTAAGAGATAAATGTGTTTACTAATCCCTGTATGCAATCCATATTACTAAGACTATGTTTCTGTATCTCTGTATATATTAAAGTTAATCTTACACCACATTGATACCTCTCTTT